GGGGAATCAGATTTGTTTGCTCTGCTTTGGATTCTGTAACACTGTACATTTCTAAACTTGGTCCTTCAGCAGTGGCAGTAGGCTATTGAATAACTTAATTAAAACCTCAAATCTAAAATGTAAACAGCAGATATTACAGGACATTTGAATTTACATAGAGCTGTCATTGGTATTTTAAAAAATGCAACCAATCTGTTGTTTGGGATACACATAAACTGGAAACGTAATTCAACAAGCATGCTTTTCACTTAAAGCAAAAACATTTGAGTTTAGCATAAAGCATCTGTTAACATAAACAATGAAATTGCATTTTAATAATGGCATCTGAGAAGTTAACATTTACTTTCTCTTACTGCACTAATTCCTAAAAGCTCATACACTTGTATTTTAAATGAACCTTTTTTTTTAAAGACCTAGCATGGAGTGACCTGATAAATTGGGAAGCAAACCAATTATTTGTTTCTGTGCAACAGTTTAGTTTTAGCAGAGTGTATGCCAGTGGCTTAAAGAATTAATTTTCTTTTCAGATTGCCATCACTAGACAGCTATTTTTTTCCTTTAAATTCAAAAGGCTCTGTTCCAAATGGCATTATACCATCTCTTCCACCTAGTATGGAGATTATAAAAATGAATCTAGATGTTGGGTAATTCCTCTTTTCTAATGGACTTAGTGAATTGACTCAAACTATAATCTGGTTCTTCTCCTAAACCAACATGCCAGTGACCTGACCCACTGAATGACTTTGGGCTTATGATAAAGAAAATTGTAAGTTCCCTAATTTAATCCAATCTACATTAAAACAGTGAAATTTTTAACCAAAAAGAAAAAAATTTCTGGGAGCTTCTGAGTGAATTGTGTTATTAACCAATTATTGCAATCTCTTAAAAGAAAACCATGGAATTCCCTCTTGGGTACTGTTAAGGTTTTGAATCTTGGCCCCTTACTTCAACAACCATGTTGGCTAGAGTGGTTTTTCACAAGAAATGTAGCTAATGAATACTCTAATTAAATGTGTGAACCACTCTTTCCTCCACAAACTGATTCAAACCACAAAAGATTTTTCTAGATTAATCCACGATCAAAAAACATAAAATTGAATCACTGGTTTGGTCATGACATGATGATAGCCAACATCTTTCTTTCACAGGCCACTTTTCTGTCACCATTTTTCCATTTCTTGAGAGGTCATTAGAAAAGAGATGTCCCTATTTCCTGAATGAAAGAAAAAATGCATTGGGATTTGGTGCTGGTTTGGGACTGAGGAGATAGCTGTAGAAATAGAGATATCTTCCCAGGAAAGCAAAGTGAGGAGTAAGATGCCTATATTTACAATGGACAGGATGTTTGGCAGTATCTTGTTACTGTGATGACCCAAAGTAGGGAGATTAAATGACATTTTCATGACCTTCATCAGCATAAGGGATGAAGAAAGGATAAATGTATGTGCTCTAATCATGGATCTTTTACTTTAATTCAGCTATTAGCAACTTTAAATTGGTAGTGTGAGATTTGGTATACTCTCTCTATATACATGTATCATACAATTTTGGTGAAAAAGCTGAAGATTACCATTTTGTATACAGAGGCACTGAGTAAAGAATTCTATTTTTTCCCCAAACATGCTTCGTGAATTCAAGCTACTGCTTTTTTTTCTTTCTAAATTTCCAACATACAGCCATTTAATTTTCATCTTTATGAGAAATGCAACTGTTCACATATATGTATATGTATATATATAATATCACACAATCCTATAGCATATTGCAAAATCTTATACCAAATTCGTTTATGGAGTTGGTGAAATGACACACTTTAAGATATAGGTATGTAAACTATTGAAGTTGTTTTATGTCTCGTGGTAATATTCAAAGCAGCCAAAGGAATATTTGCATTTCCTCTCCCCTTTTTTTATATATAGGTGCCACTCCTAGACAGGGGAAAAAAAAAGTGTGAAGACTTGAAGACCATTAATCTGTCAGCTAAGTGTCAAACTACCGAAGGGTAGCTTTGCATTTGATTTCTGGCTATGGCAGAAATAAAAAGCATGAAAGAAAGTCTTAAAATAGTTTCTTAAAGCACATAGAATTGTTAACCTCAAGAGCAAAGGCTGATATGCAAAATTTACAGATGGTAGTGGTGGAAAAAATATATACTAGGTATGTATGACCAAGATATAAGAAAAAAATTCACGCTAACCCATGCCAAATGATTTATTTCTGCTCTCCTTCACTCCCTCTCACCTCAGGCTCTGGTTTTGGCTTGTAAACAAGTACACTCAACATTTCAATATCTTTTTCAATAGTTTTTGGGTTCCCATTTCTAAAATTACACTCATCAGAACCAGACATTTACTTTATCTTCTACAAGGGGTGTGCTGGTAAATATCTTAACAATCAGCTCTCTGAAAAAAAGAAAATGTATAGGGATATACATTTTTATCTTTTTTTTTTTTGAGGAGGCAATTGTGGTTAAGTGACTTGCTTCGGGTCATACAGCTAGTGTCTGAGGCTAGATTTTAACTCAGGTCCTCCTGACTCCAGGGCCAGCGCTCTATCCACTGGGCCACCTAGCTGCCTCTATATTTTTTTTCTTATACTTTTAATTTTAATCCACATTATTAAGTTTTTTAAGTCTAGACAACATCAAAATGATAAACCAAGTCCTGATCTGTAGTGTTTGACAATTTCTGGGGTGTAAATGAAAACCTACTTAAAATTTTCTGTAAATTTAATAATTGCTTAGAGTAGGTATGAGCTGGCTCCAGCACACCCCTCCTAGGGGAGCTATTCAGAAGTTCCAGGGATTTGAAAGAAAATTTTCAATAAGCAAACAACATGTGATTGTACCATGCTGGGAAGATGTTTTATTAAAAACACCATCACTCTAGGGGAAGAGATCATCCAGAGACCAAAACTATTCACAATGGTTTAATTCCTTAAAGTCTGGATCTTAGTACTTTTTGCTCTACCTCCTTTCAATTAACAACTAAAGAAATGAACCTAACATTAATTTGCCTCTAGAGGTAACATCTGTACACTGTGAGGATGTAACTATTAGCAAGAGACTACTTAGAATATTGTGGATAAGAGACAGAAGGGAAGAGGTCTTGGACGTTAGATAGGGCTCATTACGATACCTTCCCTTAGTCTTTTTGTCTTGGAAATCCTGGTCTGGGGGGAGGTCCCTTTCCCGAGCTAAAAAGGTCAGAGTTGGGGTGCTGTCTGGAGAGCTGTTAGATCACCCTCATTTAGAGGTCAAATGTAAATTCTGAGATTCTACTTTTTTTTTTCCTCCTGAGTTTCAAGGCAGTGAGGTGTGAAATTAAATAGATTGTGTCCTGTGATTCATTAGAATTCTCTTGCTCCCTCCCCTTCATGATTATACCTCCCATATCCCTCTATTCCAATTCTAACCCCACCTAGTTTCAATCAAAGAAAATTTGGCAAAATCATCTATTATTATTTCTATGGAATAGGGGGAAAAGAAATCAAGCATTTATTAAGCACCTATTATGTGTTAGGCACTGTACTTAAGTACTTTACAGATATAACCTCAATTTGATTATACTTTTTAATTTGTAAGTAGAGGTCAATGATTCCACCTATGCCTTCTACCCTATCAGCAACAGCCCTCTCTCTCTCCTTGCCCCCCAACCTTCCATTTCCCTCTTGCTATTCACTTGGCTCTAATGACATATTAATTTGTGACCTCAAGCAAAGTTACTGAGAATGACAGTTTTACAAGGTGGGAGGATGGATAAGAGGTCTTAGGGAGGGGTAGCTATTACCAAGTACCCACAATGGAAGAAAATGGGAAGCAGAAAATAACCCAAAAAAAGGTATTTTTAGGACTCTTTCACAGAACTTTATTTTATTTTTTGACTAGGCAATGGGGTTAAGTGACTTGCCCAGGGTCACAGAGCTCATAAGTGTCAAATGTCTGAGGCTGGATTTGAACTCAGGTCCTCCTGACTCCAGGGCCAGTATTCTATCCACTGCAATACCTAGCTGCCCCCACAGGACTTTATCGACATATTTATTACCTTACCCTCTATATTTCTGATAAAACCCTACTGGTACAATGATCTATCAGTTCCATTCTGCTAATGTGGAACTTTGACATCTTTAGTGGGTAACTTGAGTCCAAAAGTCAGAGGATGGAGACTTTAGAGAATGAAGGGGTTGGTTTCACCTAAGCCTTCTAATTCCTACATCATACCAGAGCAGTCAATTAAGGGTTCTTTCATTCAAGCAAGAGCTAGAGTTGGAGGCCATAAGAGAGCATAAGGGAAAGTTATTAAAAGGTAGAAACAAGTGGAATCTTTTTCCATTACAAATTCTGCGTAAGGTATAAATAGGATTAATGGCCATAAAGTCAATTATCAATAATTGCACTTGGAGCCTTAGTATGTCAATACTTTTTTTTTTTAAAGTTTAAAGAGTTAATTAGGCCCCAAATCCTGAGTCAGATTAAACAAAATATGAATCTGGACAATCACTGTGGGTGTTCAAGTACTGGTGAAAATCAGTTCAAAGTTTAACAATTAAGTATGTCAAGCCTGAGACTGTTCAATATATGTATTTTTAGAAATTCAGGTTTAATGGGAAGAGAATGGACTTTCTTCCTTTTCACTGAGTATTCATTTGTTTACCCTTGGAATCCTTATCAATTTAATCGCATATTGATATCAGAATCTATTTCCTGGCTTATAATTATTAAAACAGAAGATTCCTTTTGTCCTTTGCAATTTATCATCAGACTATTTCCTGACATGTACTATGGATGCTGTATGGTGTACTTTGGAATTCAGATTATATGTGGAATTACATAATCACATGCATGCTCATTGAGAGATCTGAAGGAACAAGTCTGAGTAAGTAACAAAGCAGTTTTTCTCTATCAGAAGAATCCTAAAATTAAAAAAAACAACCCCCAAAAATCCCCATACCAACAAAACCCCACCAAAAAAGAAAAAGAAAAAAAGAAAAAAAAACACCCAAAAAACCATGAAATTTTATTCATTGTTACTCTTGGGACTGACATGGCTTGTCTGCAGAATGTACACCAGGTAAATCCAGTGTAGATTTTTTCTCAGGGTCTGGAAGAGTGAGAGTTTCTGGGGCAGATTTTTTTCGAGGTCGATCTTTGGGAACTGCTAAGAATTCTGGAGGGTCTGTGGAGAGAGGTGTAGACGGAGCACTAGAAGGAGCAGTGCGGATTGCAGAAGGCAGCAGGGAAATGCTGGAGATCGAAATTGAAGGTGGGAAAACTCCAATTTTCTTGTTGGTGGCTTCCTGAGTTGCTCTTTCAAACTCTCGGACTTCATCCATTGTCATGTCTTCAATATAAAAAAAAAAGGCAAACAATTAGTTGGTTATAAGATCGACTTCTATTCATTGTACCCATTTCAAAGGTAAATCTGTTGCCTCTATTTTAATGGGATCTGTCCAGATGAAAAATCAAGAGAGAAAGAGCCTCCCCTAAGTATCAGTTGCTTGGGTTTTTTGCACAACCAGGTATCCCAGAACCAGAGCAGTTTTTCCGAATACTTACTCAGATTTCCCAGGATACTTCTCAATGTATTTTCCAAACATGAAAAATAAGACTCTATCAGGAAATGAGAGAAATAACACGTTTGTGTTTGCGTGTGTGTGTGTGTGTGTGTGTGTGTGTGTGAAGATCTAGTCATCTCTTCCTAAATGGGAGGTCAAGGGTTTGATGGATATAGCAACTAACTATACTGATAGGAATATTTTTGTCGAGTTAGATCAATTATTCACTTAAAAAAATTATCACAGCACATTTCATAATGTGTCCTTTTCACACAAAGATGGTGTACAAAGGTCTGATGGTTGGTTATTGGTGAAGTGGAAGAAAATCTGTGCTTTGCCAACACTCTTCGCACCTATGTGTTAACTGATCCACCTTGCAATGAAAAGAACTTGCTATCTCTAAAACCGGAACATTTCTCAGGATATCCAAATTTTAAAAAAAATAGGGAAAAACCAACATCAGCAAAGGATTATTCGATGGGTATTGATCTTTTTTTGAAAAAAGTCAACCCAATCCCCCTAAAATCATGATTTGGAACTCAAGAAATAATATAGCCATGTCAGGGAAGGAAGTATTCCATATATCTGAATTTTCTAGATAAATAAAACTTACCCTTTAAAGCAGTAAAACTTTTTTTTAAGTCCTGATTTTTAACAGAAACATTTCTAAAATATACACTACCCTCCCTTCTTTCAAAGCATGTAGGACATAACAATCTTTTCTTCATGACTTGCCATCATTATTCATGAACATTTATTTATTAGGGTATAGGCAACAAGGTAGTGATGCTTGGTCTTGGGGGAGGGGTGTGTGATGCTTTTTATCCTTACAGTAAATGTCCCCAGACTTCTTGGGCTTTTGAGTTGGGCCTCTTCTTTTATTATCCTTCAGTAACCTTTCTCATTCTCAAACATCATTTCCTGGGACTATTACTATACCTCTCTCTAATTTCAGATCTTTCTCTTCCTTCCAATTATGCTGCCTCTGATCACCTATAGACAAGGGAATTCAGATAACCTTCCATATTTACCAATCACCACCACCACCATTTGCAAAACACCTGGCTGGGAAAACACACTGTTAGGCACTGAGGTCAGTCAAGCTTACGGAAACCCAGTTGAAAAGGAAACCATGGGAGTAAGGGGTTTTCCTGTGAGTGAAAGGGATGGGATTTGTGTCACTGGCTGCCCAGAGACTGCTTTCTAACTTCCTGGTTTCTGGCTTTGTTCTGTATAGTTAAGAGGGACTAGGCAGGAGTATGCTGAAGCCAGCACGAAACCTACGAACTCACTGTTAAATTTTCAGTGGGAGCATTTACACCTCAAAAATTGGAAAATTCTGCAAAGCAGAGTTTGGTTTATTTTATTGGTTGTGTGGACTTAAGAAAGCAATAGAGAACATGTTAATGATGTAAATTAAACATAAAAGTGTGTTGTGTGCCACCAGATAGCCAATTGTTAAATATTTACCAGCACATCCCTCTGCACAAGTGAAGTATCAGAGCATAAATAAAATGGAATAATAATATGGCCACTTTAGAAATACTGCTTAATTTTATGTGTAAATTGTCACAATTCTAATTACTTCTTCACCCTATCAGTGCAGCAGCAGTGTGGCAAGCTGCTGATTGGGTGTCTGTATTAAGTCTGGCACAAAAATGGTGAGTCCCCAGGAGAGGTCTGTCTAAAGAGTGGTGAACCAACCCAGGGTGGAAACAGAGGTCACAGCTCCTGTACTAGTCAGTACTGGAATTGGACCTGTGAGTGGCTACTGTACTTCTAGTCTGGACAAAATATGAAGACCCAGTCTTAACAAAACAACAAACAAACAAACCAAAAAACAACAAAAACCCTAAAACTCAGAACGTGTCAACTTACAAATTGTCGTTTCCTCAGTTTGCTGTTTAATCAAAAAACAACAAGACAACAAAACACAAAACCAATAAAATAAAACAACTCCATAGGCCAAGAAATAGAATTAAAGGTTAAAAAAAAAGTGGGTACCAATTCCCCCCCATGTGATAAATATGTCTCTAGAAAATCAGTTTCAATCAGAATTAAATGTAGTGAGGTTAGATAGCTAGAGGCTTACAAGCCTATCAGTTCTTTCTATATATCTCATTTTTTTTTTACCTAGATTAAAAAGAAACTAAAATGTTATTGATATGTTTTGCTTTTATTGTTGTTCAGTTGTTTTCAGTCTTGTCTGACTCTTCATGACCCCATTTGGGGTTTTATTGATAGAGATACTAAAGTGGTTTGCCATTTCCTTCTCCAGCTCATTTTAAAGATGAGAAAACTGAGGCAAACCGGTTAAGTGACTTACCAGGGTCACACAGCTAGCTTCTGAGTCTGGATTTGAACTCAGAGGACGTCTTCCTTACTCCAGGCTATGCACTATGGCGCCACCTAGCTGCCCTTTTGCTTTTACACTTGCTCAATTTTCTCTTGTATCCCTCTTTCTCTTCTCAAAAGTCTCTTCCTCTCTCTCTCTGCAAACTGGTGTTTGGTGGAACCAGATATTGCCTGACCACTGAAACCTTGTCCTGATTGGCTAGCCCAACTCACAATTCCTATGAGTTCTTACTAATTGAGCCTTTCTTGGCTCAAACTGTTCATAATATTGAGTTTGCAGTCCACTGAGACTCCCACATTTTTTTTTCAGACAAACTGCTGAGCAACTATATAACACTAAGAGTTACAATATTATAGTGTTGCTCCAAATTAAAGGTATTACACTGATTCAACAGATCAGAGTCACAGAATCTGGGAGGTAGAAGGGATCCCACCCTTAACATAAAATTCTCTAAAGCCAAATGTTAAATTTTTAGTGTGTATATTTACACCTTGGAAATTAGTAAATGTTACAAATTAGGGCTTGATTTATTGTTTCATTGATTAAGAAAATGATGGAGAAAATGTTAACGATGCAGATTAGACTTAAAAGTGAGTCATGTGTATACTTTTTTTTTTAAAGAGCTGGTTAATAACATTTACAGCACACTCTTGGAACTACCCACATCCAGAGACAAGTCATTCCACTTTTGGAGAAGTCCAATTGTTAGCAACTTTTTCCTGACATTTAGCTTTACTATGCCTCTTTGACACTTCAACTCACCGCTCTGGGTTCTATCCTCTACATGACAACTTTTCAAATACTTGAACAGTTATCATGTTCCTTTTGAGTCTTCTTAAGGTTAAACATGCCCAGATCCTTCAACCCATCTTCACATGACATGAATTCAAGAACCTTCTTCTCCTGGTTGCCCTAATCTGGTCACTTTCCAATTTAGCAATGTCTTTAGACTCCTATAACAACGGATGAATCCTGATATGGATAGAGTACAGAGGGACTATCATGCTCTCTTTTTTCTTCTTCTTCTTTTTTTTTTTAGGCAATTGGGGTTAAGTGACTTGCCCAGGGTCACACAGTTAGTAAATGTCAGTGTTTGGTCTGAGGCCAGATTTGAACTCAGGCCCTCCTGACTTCAGGGCCAGCGCTCTATCCACTGCGCCACCTAGCTGCCCCTGACTATCACTCTCTTATTCTAGGAAAGTAATCTTTTTTTGATGTAGCCCAAGATGACATTAAATTTTTTAGATTAAAAATTTTAGATATCTTGCACTGTTGACTCATATTGAATTGGCAGTCAACTAAAGCTCCTAGACATTTTTCAAACTGCTGTCCAACCATGACACAATCTTGTACTTGTGAAGCTGATTTTTGTGTACCTAAGACTACATTTATCCCTATTGAACTTCAGCTTGTAATAAAAATAATTAATAGGAATAGCTAGCATTTATATAATGTTTTACTGTTTCAAAAGTCCTTTAAAATATCTCCTATTTTGGAGGAGATCCTCCTGGAAGACAGAGGTTATTATTATCATCCTCATTTTACCCATGAGGAAACTGAGGCAGAGAGAGGGTAAATGTACAGGGTGTACAAAAGTAGCAAGTAGGGGCAGCTAGGTGGTGCAGTGGATAGAGCACCGACCCTGAAGTCAGGAGGACCTGAGTTCAAATCCGGCCTCAGACCAAAACACTTGACACTTACTAGCTGTGTGACCCTGGGCAAGTCACTTAACCCCAATTGCCTAAAATAAAAAAAAGGAAAAAAAAGGTAGTATCTAAGGCAGGATTTGAACTCAGATCTTCTTGATTCCAAGTCAAGGAGTCTATTCAGTGTGCCACCTGGTTACTTTAAATATATTACTAGATTTAGTACAATGCTAGCAGTTAAGATTGGATGGAGGTGACTCTATTGTTTTCTGCGTTAACTATGCTTTCTAGCTTTGTGTCATCTTCCAAATTTGATGAGTACACCATCTATGCCTTTAATCAAATTATTGATCAAAATGTTTAATAGCACAGGGACAAGTATAGATCCTTGAGGTACTCCACTGGGGGCTTCCTGCCATGATGACATTGAATCATTAACAACAACTTTCTCAATCCCACGTTCCAGCCACTTCTGATTATATTTATTGTCTAGTTGTCATCTCTCTATCTTCTCTGAAGGAATTAGTAGGAGAGATTTTGCTAAAATCTAGGTAAACTATATCTACCCCTCACCTACTAGTTCAGTAATCCTGTTAAAAAAGGAAATTAATTTATTCTGGCATGACCTGTTCTTCATTGAACCCTTATTGGCTCTTTATAATCATTGCTTTCCTTTCTAGAGGTTGCTAGCCATCTCTTTAGTTATCCATCTAGAAATTCTCTAGGGATCAGTCTTCCTCACTGGCCTAGAGAATGCCAAATTTTTTGAAAAAATTAAAAAAAA